CTTTGTAGAAAACGAAGCGTTTGAGAGAGGCGGGGCATAGAGGACCTACAATAATGTACAGTATTTGAAAAATAATGTGTTTTTTGAACATTAAAGCATGTCAACATATTCTGTTACACCAAATACACAAAATAATGATCTTTAAAATAGCATCATATGACCCCTTTAAAGTAAAATTTCAATAAGTAAAATATTAATTTTAATACAATCTCATAGCATTGTTTATGCAGCTGTAATTGCAGTGTAAATGCTGCTTCTGTGCCAATTTTGCAATGCAAAAATGGATTTTGCTGATACTGATTGATTTTTTTATTTGGTAACAGAATATAGTGTCTTAATATTATAACTTATTGATTAAATATAAGAATTTGACATAAAATATGACACGTACATTGAATAAAGATAGAAAAAATGATATTAAAAAGGTAAAATGCCTCTGGAAATCAGTTTAAGGTGGCAAACGTGGCCCTTAATGAAAACATGAATTTCTGTAACTGCAAAATACCAGAAAATTTTGAGATATTTTTTATCAGTTTCACACACCCTTAAGATCTACACACATTTCTGTTTATTTCTTCTCTGTTTTCTGTGGAAATGTACAAAGTGTATTTTTAACAAGCTTTTCATTGTCAGTCAAGCTACAAGACAAACTGTGATTGGTTGTTTTACGTGTCAGTAAAGTGTCTTATTTTTAAATTTTTTTTGTATTTTTGCTAAACTAATCTGCAGTATGGGTTTAGTGTTCATCTGTGAATAGATATCTTTTTTCCATATCTGCTGGCAGTGATGCTAACATCTCCAGACAAGCCGGACGTTCCCCTGCGATCAGCCATTTCACGTGCATGAGCGAGCGATCGGAGACGTTTTAGCAGACAGATCCGCAATGCAGATCTGCTGACGGAGGTGTGAGGTCAAGCCGAGTGTCTGTGAGTCTGATAAACCTCCTCAGCGCTCAGGGAATCAACAAAAACAGGAGGACAAAGGCAAAACCGTCAGGAAAAACATGCTGCATGGTCCTTGGAATCGATGCCAACTCCAGATGAAGCGGCTCAAGATCAGAATAGCGCTTACGATTCACAAAATTAATTAGCGTAAATAATTGCTAAAACACTTTCTGAGAAGTTGGCACTAGTTAACCTCTCTAACTGACTAGTTGTTTTTGGACAGCTAGTTGATTAATCAACCATCCTGGTCCATCCTTAGTTTGTACTGTAATGTGTAGTGTTATTTTAGTATTATTTATATACTATTACAGTTTTTATTAATATTTCGACGCATGTTTTGTTTATATAAAACTTTATATTTATATTCTTTTTATATATTTTTTGTATTTTTAATTTGACTTTTTAATAATTTTGTCATTTTTTAAAAATATTTCTATTTCAGTTGTCCAGTTAATAATTTTAGTGCTTCAACTTAAACTTAACCTAAACATTTCTAAGTTTTGTCCAGTTTAATTTTTAAAATCTAAAATATATATTTTAAGCATTATTTATTAATATTACTTTTATTTATATATTGAATGTATTTTGTTATTATATTTAATATTTATATGACATTTTATATATATATATATATATATATAATTTTACATTTTTAATCATTTTGTCATTTTTATTGTTTTTTTATCTAATTTTTATTTTTAGTATTATGTATTACCATTATAGTAGTATTAGTAGTGTTTTATTTTTAGTTTTTCTTTTAATTTTAGTTTAATTTTTTAGTAATTATGTCATTTTCATTTTTTTTTTTTACAATACTATTAGGTTTAATTTATTTTTATTTCCATTTTCCAGTTAGTAATTTAAGTGCTTCAGCTTATTTCAAAACAGAAGGACAAAGGCAAAATTGATGGGAAAAACACTCTGCGTTGACCTTGGACTCAATGCCAGCTCGGATGAAGCGGCTCAAGAGACTAGCAGTCAAATTCAAACATCAGCACTTATTAAGCGAGGGAGGAGACGAAGAAAATGAAGATGAGGGAAGAAAGCGGATGCAAGTGGATCCATTAGCTTCTCTTTCTGGCCTTTAAGCAGGAGATCACGGATGACTGGATGATTGGCTTGCGGCCCGCGTCGCTCTGGGCTCGAGGATGAGCAGTGGACCGACAGCAGGCAGGAGATCTGGGGTGCTCTGTGGCCGAATGCTGGGCTTAAAATGGGCCGAAGAAGAGCAAATCATATCAAGAAATTCTCCTTTTCTGGACAGCGGCCTGCCTGACTCGCACACTCAGGTCCTGCCTCACTGCGGGGCTCTCATGATGCCAGACGAGAGAATTAGACCGCAGCTGTGACTCCAACACCAACGCCAGCTTACAAACGTGAGTGCTTGTGCAGATTCAGCTGAAGCTTTAGTATATTTATGTTTATCAGTCTGTCTTTTATAGAATTATGTTTCCAATATGAACAACAACAATCTGCTTTTAATTTTTTTTTAGAAGTCAATACATCATTGGTTACGGATCAAAATTGGCACTCATGAATCGAAAAAATTAACAATTATTGTAAAAAATTGCTAAAACACTTTATGAGAAGTTGGCACTAGTTAAACTCCATAATTAACTAGTTGTTTTTTGGATAACCAGTTAATTAGTCAACCATCCTAGTAATTTTTAATATTACTATTTAGGTTTATTTTTTATTTCAGTTTTTCAGTTAGTAATTTTAGTGCTTCAACTAATTTTGTTTAAACTAATATTTATTTTGTTTTAGCATTATTTATTACAATATTTATTTTTATGTATTTTATTCGATTTTTTAAAAAATATTTTCCTATTATTTTAATTTTAATAAAATTTTTAGTAATTTTGTTATTTTCATTATTCGTTTTATATTACTATTTAGGCTTCATTTATTTGAAATACCCTTTATGTTTTACATTATTTAAATTAGTCTCTTCGTTCAGTTTTTCCCTGTGGATGCTGGGTGTTTCATGTTCAAAAATGATTGCATGTAAACAAAAAGTCTCATAATGTTAAATCTGTTTCTGTCTCGGCTATTTGTTCATTTTTTGTCTAAAATGGTTTAAATTGGAACAATGTAGCAAACCGAACTGCAAAATTAATGATCCTTTCCTGAAGGTTTTCTGTAACACTCCTACTGCTCATTCATCTCTGCTCTCTGTCTACAAAGATTGGTTGAGACCATAGACTGTATAAAAACATGGACGTAGTGTCCGTGACATCACCCGTAGTTTGCTGAAGTGCGTATATGAAGCTCAAAGTAGGCGGAGCCGGCCGTCGCCATCTTGGCAGCGCGTCACTGCGCGTCACTCCCGGAATTGAAAATGGGCAAAGAGGCGGGAGGTTGTTGGTTGCTGAAACCACGCCCACCTAGCTCGACGCCGGTGACAGCAGCGGCAATCCACCTGTCACTCAAGTGGCCACGCCCTTAATTATGCAGAACTTTAAGGCTTAATATAATTTAAATATTTAAAATTCACCCCCCTCACAGTTGTCATGAAGGGCAAAATTAGCTATATAGACCAAAATCATTTTTTGTACCAGGCTGTAAACATGTTTTTTCTGACATATTTTTTCCTGCTGTAAAGTTGGGCATTTTAACATAGGGAGTCTATGGGACTGACTCCCTTTTGCAGCCAGCCTCTATCTGCCAGTCGATGAATTGCAGTTTTAGTCACTTCCGTGTTGGCTTCACGAGAGAGAGCGGGAGGTTGCCGCTTGGTTGAGACAGAAGTTTGACATGTCAGGCCGCTCAAACAAACAAATCATTAAACCAAGACACCAGAAAATGTTTAAACAACCCAAAAATGGCTCTTCATGTTTGATATAGTGTCCTCTTTCAGTACGGCTGCATGCACAAGTGTGTGTTTCTTACCTCTGTCGGTGTCGTACAGGAATACGAAGCGGCTCCAGTCGTAATGGTCCAGGAGGCTCAGTAACGCCCCGCGGATGGACGGCCGCAGCTGAAGCACGAACTGTGTCTCGCCCTCGGCAGGGAAACTGGGCGTTACCAGAGAGATGTGCAGCGCGCTGCAGAAGGATGTCAGAGTGTGGACCGAGCGCTTATCGTACAGGCCGAATATCGCAAAGACTCCTCGCGAATACTGCGAACAAACTGAGAGAGAGAGAGAGAGTCAGTGTTACATACGATGCACAAAGAACATACATACTGCATAACACAGTAAAGAACGAGAAGAAAACACAAGAGAGAAAAATGTGCCCAAATGTGTCATATTTCACCCCAAAATTAAAAGAAATGCAAGTAATGAAAAAAAAAAATCTGCATTAGAATATTTTTTTTTTTTTGCATTGAGAGATTATTGTCATGAGAATATTTCCTCTCCAAACTTTAATAACTGTAATACATCCAGGTGTTTAACTTTTCTTTATTTTTTCTAATTATTCTTAGTGATGATTCTAATTAGATTATGATTAGCATTATATATTACATAACCTGTTTATACTATATATAACATTTTATAATATAAACATACTGCATTTAATACATACCTGCATAAATTTGAGACATTACAATAAATACAGCATTGACACCAAATACTGTAAAATTAATGAATGATTAATATTTCAGATTTGCCATCACAGGAATAAATTACATTACAATTACAAGTTCTATTATGGTAATATTGTAATAATAATACTTAATACTTTTTATATAATTTCTATTTCATAAAAATCATTTTATATTTATATAATTTTTTATAATTTAATATATGTGTGTGCACGTGTGTGTATTTATATACACATATTTTTTTTATTACATTGCATTATTATTGAGATAAATTGAAATAATTTGAAATATGAATATGTTCTTGACAGTTTTTTGTGAGACTGAAGTTCAGTAATAAACAAATGTTTCCATGTTTTCCTGAGCGCAAGTGAAAGAGAGAGACTTCAGTAGTCAGTGTTTAATCTTCAAAGGAGTCACACACACACACACACACACACAGAGAGAGAGAGAGAGTTTGTCTGTCGCTTCTTTGATGTAAGTTTATATCGTTGCATTTTCTGTCGCTTTCTATGAATGACATACTCTAGTTTTCGACTGTAGGATCAAACAGTCTGTTCCTGCACTTCTCTTTTATTAGTCACTCAGGTGTCTCTGCCATAACAGTCTTTCTCAGAAGCTCATGTTTTATAATGCACTGTACGAGTGTGTTTGTAAATGTTGTTAAAGATCTGTGTGAAAATCTCTCTGTGTCTCACAATCAGAGTTTGTGAGCAATGTGTTGAGTGCTTTGTGCTGTCAGATGCTCATCCTCCATCATCATTTACCGTCTGATTCATCGACAGACCAATTAATGGAAGGACAAACCGTCTGTGGGTTATTTATAGACTGAACGCCACTCTCTACTCAGAATATCAGCGGCGGACGGTCGCCATGGAGATACAGGCAACAGTTAGTAAAAGTGCTGTGACGATCAGGATGGACGGATCGTAGAGGAAGGTATGGAGGAGGAATGATGAGGAGTTTATTTATACAATGTTAACCTGAAAAACCCACAGACTTACAACGAAAGAGGGATGCGAGCCACTGCCTAGCAACAACCCAGAAACGCCTAGCAACTGCATAGCAACATGCCAACAGCAACAGCTACCTTAGCAACCACATAGCAACACCCTGACATCATGGCGGTGAGTTTTGCGCAGGTATCTAGTAGGTTAATATTATTTCCAGCCCTCAAAAAAAAGTTGTTGGAGAGGTGAGAAAATGACTGTAATTTGATATAATTTATCATCAAAATTTAGCATTATAAAGTAATATAATCAGATTCCAAAAATGTAGTACTTGTAATTAGATCGTATTGTTTTAAAATGCATATTATGTTTTAAAAATGCAGATTACAGTTGCTTTTTTGGATTACATGATTCCAAATTATTCACACAATGACATTAAATTATTCACAATTTATTGATTCTCCTTAATTCTTAATTCTGTTTTTAAAAATAAATGTTCCTTTCTAAATATTCTACTGTGTGTCATATAATTTAGCTTTGAATATTCACAATATAGAATGCCAATGTAAATGTCATGTATATTTGAATTTAATTAATTTGCGGTCCATGCTTCTGAATTGGAGGACAAAAGCACCTCTCAGTCAATCACACAATTTATGAGACAAATAATTACACAAGTTACTAAACACTCCGATGTATAACTGACATCAAATATTTACCCCAGTTTGGGAAACCCTGGAGTAATGTAATTTCAATTGCATTTCATGATGTTGATAACAAAGAATGAAATAGATTGTATATCTTTTTTTATATATAATGATAATCCCATTCACATCTGCAAGTTATGGCAAAAATAATCCAAAAGTAGTCAGAATACGTTACCTAAAATGAGTAATCTAGATGACATTACTGACTACAATTTTCACTAAAGTTAACTAAAACTGAATAATTTTTTTTTAAATGAAATAAAAGCTACAAAAACAACTTAAGCTTATTTTATTTCAGTCAGTTGCTGATGCAATATATTGTACATATAGTCAATAAAAAAGATTTCTACTTAAAAATTTCATGTTTAATTCAATGTATTGTTTGCCGATAATTTGGGATTATTTGTGCAAATTACTAACAATTTTCTAGAGTGAAAATAGAGTCAAAGTAAATCCAACACCATTTTTTAGTAAAAACAAAAAGTTTAACTTGATACTAAAATAACTAAAACTGAAATAAATATATATATATATTAAAAAACTACATATAACAAATAAAAATGAGGAAAAACAATCAAATTACTAAAACTTTTTAAGTAACATGAAAATATAAAAATATGAAAAATATATAAAACATAAAAATAAAATCTAAAATAACTAAAATATAAAGTAAAAACTAATACAAGACATTAATACATACACTGATGTTTTCATAATCTGTTATTAAAATTATTAGAACTAGCTTTTATTTTAATATAATCAGTTTTCATTTTAATTTGAGTTTATTTTGCTAATAACACTCACTTTTCACGACCCAATCGATTCCAAATGGATAGAATCAAGTCTCGTCCAACATATTTCTTCTTATTGAATGTCTCGTTTCTCTCAGAATTACGTCAGGATAAAATGGGTTGTGAAAAGCGTTTCATGTCGACTTCAGTGGCATCAGAGACATCGCTCTCTCTCTCTCTCTGTGTGTCTGTCTCGCTCTGTTTCTGTGTTAAAAGAGGCCGTTTTTACAGTCTTGTGTTCTGTGACTGTTATAGTCGCTCGTCGTGTGGGGAAAAAGAAGAGCGAATCTGTGTCTGAGGCTCATGTTTGTGTGTGTGTGTGTGTGTGTGTGTGTGTGCGTTTTTTAAAGGGGTCATATGATGCGATTTCAATTTTTCCTTTCTCTTTGGAGTGTTACAAGCTCTTGGTGCATAAAGAAGATCTGTAAAGTTGCAAAGACTAAAGTCTCAAATCCAAAGAGATATTCTTTATAAAAGTTAAGAGTCAGCCACACCTACCTAAAACGGCTCGTTCTAACATATATCTACCCCCCATATCTACCCCATATCTACCTCACTATGTGGGAAGATTTGCATAACGCCGCCCAAATGTTCACGCAAAGAAAGAAGGCGTAACTTTTATTCTCGCTGTAGTATTGTTGCTGCCGCCGCCGCCATGTCGTGAAGACGCTGTGTGTTTCGTTGTGAAAGCGAAACTACTTTGTTTGGTCTTCCAAAAGAGGACGATATCTGCTTCGTCATGCCTAGAGCTGATCTGTGCTGGTCACTGAGGAAATACATTAACATCGCGCTGTGGATCACCGGATCGGCTTTCACCGTGGACGAAGCGGAGTCCAGCCCGGGGTCGTCACATGTGGTTGCCGCAAGCCCTCCGGACGCTCCTTCGTCGAATCCGCCGGCCGCGCCGTTCTCAAGCCCACCTCTGCTCACTCTAGGCCGCCGTGTGTTTCGTTGTGTTCGTTACTTTGTTTGGTCTTCCAAAAGAGGACACGACTAGAAATCAGTGGTATTTAAGCTTCAGGGGTGTGATGAAAACGTGCTACAGTCTGCTCTAACACTGATGTCACTCTGTTAAACCGTCTAAATTTAACACACCAGTCGACCTGACCTTTTGTCAGCCCACGCTCACACGCTTACGTTACGTTATCAGTCTTTTATATTCTGGTGAATGTTTGAAATCACCTTTAGCCACAGAAATAATTGAGCTCAACTGTGTGGACTCTCCATTTATTGTATTCATTCAAACTTTTCCAGCTTCCCCTTCCTTACACTGACAGCATGTCCTAACCAGCTACACAAGCCTACTAGTGTTACTTTTCTTTTCCCATTTAAAGTGAACTACTGTGCAAACTGCAAAGTGATGAAATTCACAGCCAATCAGAATGTACTGCTATGTGGAGCGGCGACCAACAATGTTCATCGTCTGTTTGATTACATCTTTAATTGATTTTTCCGTACATTTCTGCCATATGTACATTAACTGACAGTCACCACTGATAAGCTACCACTAAATATATTGTAGAAAATTAATTTTCTGTAAAGTTGCTTTGCAACGATTTGTATCGTGAAAAACGCTATACAAATAAACTTGAATTGAATTGAATGTAATTTTGACATTAACGTGCTTCTACCATACAGTACCGTTATATGTATTATTTTTGAAAGAAATTAATACTTTTATTCAGCAAGGATGCATTAAATTGATGACAGTAAGTGAAAGTAAAGACATTTATAATGTTACAAAAGATTCATATTTCAAATAAATGCTGTTCTTTTGAACTTTCTATTCATCTGTGAATCCTGAAAAATCAAATGTATCTCAGTTTCTACAAAAATATTCAGCAGCACAACTGTTTTCAACATGGATAATAATCAGAAATGTTTCTTGAGCAGCAAATCAGCATATTAGAATGATTTCTGAAGATCATGTGACACTGAAGACTGGAGTAATGATGCTGAAAATTCAGCTTTGATCACAGAAATAAATTACATTTGACTATATATTCACATAGAAGAACAGTTATTTTAAATTGTAATAATATTTCACAATATTACGGTTTTCACATTATTTGTGAATTCATTTATAAATATACAACATATAATAATAATAATAATAATTATTATTATTATTCTTTTTTTTGTGTGCTAATTTTTAGGACCAAAACTACATGAACATGCTTCTATCACATATAAAATATATAATAAAATTTGATTATACATATTAAATGTATACATAAAATATACAATAATAATATTTTTTATTTATTTATATGTTATATATAACAGACGTTAAACCGACTTATAAAGAAAAGTTGCTCGACTTGTTAGTTGTTATGATTTACTGATATATTTATATATAAAATGCTCTTTTTCAGCTCTTGAATAAGCAAGATGGATTGATCTGCCATCAAACCGGACATCTTACTCTGTGAGGTAAGAGTGATTTGTTACCTATTGATTAATAAGCAGTGATTGATCGATCGGTGCGTCTCTCATCACTGCGGGTCCTGCTGTGTGATGACCTCATATAACACACGTGTGTGTGTGTGTGTGTGTGTGTGTTTGGGCTGATCGATTCTGTCGTGCGCTCTAAACACAGTTAGCATTAATAAAATCACTATGGGACTATAATAGAAACAGAGCTATTAATCAGCAACACAGAGAAAGAGAGAGAGGCTGGAGTAGCCGCTGGGTCTACAGGTCACAAACAGATTGATTTACCATTTACCCAAACACACACCACTCCACAGAGGCAAGGCAAGGCAAGGCAAGTTTATTTGTATAGCACATTTCATACACAATGGTAATTCAAAGTGCTTTACATAAAAGAAAAGAAAAAAAAATAATCACAACAATAAAAAAAAGAATTTAAAAAACTGATATATTTATATATAAAATGCTCTTTTTCAGCTCTTGAATAAGCAAGATGGATTGATCTGCCATCAAACCGGACATCTTACTCTGTGAGGTAAGAGTGATTTGTTACCTATTGATTAATAAGCAGTGATTGATCGATCGGTGCGTCTCTCATCACTGCGGGTCCTGCTGTGTGATGACCTCATATAACACACGTGTGTGTGTGTGTGTGTGTGTGTGTTTGGGCTGATCGATTCTGTCGTGCGCTCTAAACACAGTTAGCATTAATAAAATCACTATGGGACTATAATAGAAACAGAGCTATTAATCAGCAACACAGAGAAAGAGAGAGAGGCTGGAGTAGCCGCTGGGTCTACAGGTCACAAACAGATTGATTTACCATTTACCCAAACACACACCACTCCACAGAGAGACTGTATGACCAGCTGACATCCCCATACACTACTGCTTTTGCTTCAGGACACCCATTTAATTCTGGACTCCATGAATTGTATTTATCAAACCAGAATTAATCATTTAAATTGTAAAAATAATATATTTTATATATGCCAATTTTATATCATCCTCCCTTTTAAGCTTATTTATTTTGCTGTCCTTCCTGACGCACAATTATACGGTTAATTGTGTTTTATTACTTATTTATTTATTTAGCATTGTTGTTCCCTATTAGAACAGACCTGCAACTTCTTTTTGGTTCACGACCCACCAGTTGAGAAATCTGATATAACAGACACGTGTTTTAACCTATACATAAACAAACTGCTCATGTACACGTTTATATATGCTACAATGGACTGATATTTGATACAGTGTGTGGTTATGTTTGAAATGAAATACTGGTGTATCTTTTATTGTGTAGTACATACAGTATGTACTACAGTATGCAATGATACACTTTCAGGCTTTCTTTAATCCATTTTGTGCAAAATATTGATAGTGTGTTAGAAATCTATTGTAACTCTTTACAATAAGGTTCCAGTAGTTAATGAACTAACAATGAAAAATACTTCTAAAGCATTTATCAGTCTTAGTTCATGTTAACTTCAACATTTACTAATACATGTTGTATCTGTATATTATGGAAGCTTGTTTAAAAGTTATCAAAATTCTGACCTTTTGCTCACAATTTCAAGTTTACATCGTGCAATTTTTACTATGAATTCTGAGTTTACATCTCGCAATTTTTACTTTTTTTAATATGAATTCTGAGTTTACGTTTACGATTTTTACAGTTTTCTATGAATTCTGTTTACATCTCACAATTTTTACTTTTTTTAATATGAATTCTGAGTTTACGTATCGCAAATGTTCTTTTTTTCTGAATTGCGAGAAAAAAAGTGTGAATTATGAAATTAAAAGGTGCAATTACCCTTTTTTTTTTTTTGTTACCTGTGGCAAAAACAAGAAAATAAAATAACAATAAATAGTTGCATTATTACATGGTAAAAAAAAAAAAAAAAAATTTGTTGGTCAAAAAAGTAAATAATTATTGGAGTACGTTTTACAAGAAAATATTATCTCAGTATTTCTACTTCAATATTTCACATTTAATTACTTACCATTTCTTTGTAGTTATTTATGAAATTTATTAAGAATTTCTGAGTGAACATTTTTCAGTATAACGTTAATTCAGATTAATAAATATAGTAACAAATGTATTGCTTATTATTAGTTAATGTTAGTTAATTGTACAAGTGTTACAAAATCTTGATAACATTTCTGGTTCATTCATCACTCTGTGCTCCGTGCATTGCATTGTTGGATATGGTTGGTAAATGTACTTTGCATACAAAAAATTAAATTTATTGTAGTTTTTTTTTACATACTGCAAAATATTATGAATAGCACACCATTCCAAACATGTGTTTCCCCGAGTGAATCAAGCCTGAGTCTTGTTTTAGGTATGAAAATACAGCCTCTGTTGTAACGTCTGCTCTGTTCTTAAATGCACTCACAGACACACACACAGACACACACACACAGACACAGACACACACACACACACACACACACACACAGACACACACACAGGCACACACACACACCACACACACACAGACACACACACACACACACAGACACACACACACTTTCTGCTCACTAAGACGTCATGATCAGCCCACTTTCAGCAAATTGACTTGCTGTTTTCGTTACCATGACAACGCAGCTGTCAGTCAAGTTTGGGCCATAGCAACGGGGCTTTACCATGACTGCCAATAAAGTTGTTTCCATTAATGGAATAAGCTTTTTATTGCCATGGAGTGAGAGACAGATGGACACATAAAGAGAGAGAGAGAGAGAGAGAGAGAGAGATGAATGCATAAAGAAAGCACAATTTAAAGTGTTAATACAGTGGCTGATAAATCAGAATAGTGAATATACAGTAGCACAAGACAACGCAGCAGTCAAGTTTGGGCCATAGCAACGGGGCTTTACCATGACTGCCAATAAAGTTGTTTCCATTAATGGAATAAGCTTTTTATTGCCATGGAGTGAGAGACAGATGGACACATAAAGAGAGAGAGAGAGAGAGAGAGAGAGAGATGAATGCATAAAGAAAGCACAATTTAAAGTGTTAATACAGTGGCTGATAAATCAGAATAGTGAATATACAGTAGCACAAACTCTTCTGTCTTGTTTCTTAATTAAATTCTGATTAGTTATTTTAGATTAGGCCTGAAGTAGATTGTTAGATACAAATGCATTGTTTTCTGCTCAAAACTCAGAGTAAGTGATAAAAAGAGTTTGAAGCTGACTTTACAATCATGTACAAACTTGTCTCTTATATAAGTATAAATATTTAATAATTTGTGAAGTATTACAACTTATGTACAATTACATTTTAAATTATGTAATTTCTATATCTATTTATATATTTATTTAAATTGTGAAATATTATAACATACAATTACATATATTACATACATTATATAATTTTAAAAAATAACATTTTAAGAATTGTTATTATTATTTCTTCGAATGTTTTGAAAAAGTTTTAAATATAACTTTATTTAATTTGTGAAGTATTGCAACTTATGTTAAATTACATACATTTTTAATTATATAATGTTTAAAAATAACATTTTAAGAAATAATATTAATATAGTGTAGTGAATATACATTAGAACAAATGTCTTATTGCTTAATTAAATTCTGACATGTTCATTTTGGATTTGGCCTGAAGTAGATTGTTAGATACTAACATTTTGTTTTTTGTTCATCTCAAAATAAAGAGTTTAGAATTGATTTTCTGTCCATGTATTTAACGAACATGTCTCTTGTGTGTGTGTGCGTGTGTGTGTGTGTGTGTGTGCGACAGAGAAAGTTCTCCTCTGATTGGTTCCCGACAGAATGAATCATCAAACTATTTCTGTTGCAGCAAATCAGCCATTATGTGTTTCCAAGGTAACCAAGTATATACATGCACTCTCTCATAGACACACACACACACTCACACACACACACATCAATTACATTTTAAATTATGTAATTTCTGAAAATAACATTTTAAGAAAAAATTATATTATTTCTTAATATTGTTTTGAAAATGTATATATAAATATAACTATTTATTACATTTGTTTATTACAATTATTTATTATTTATTATTTATTTATTATTTATTATTTATACATTATATTTATTACAACTTAATCTCATACATTTTACATTATGTAATTTTTTTTAAATAATATTTTATGAAATAGTGTTTCTTAAAGTTGTTTTGAAAAAAGTTATATATAAATATCTTCTGATTGGTTCCCGACAGAATGAATCATCAAACTATTTCTGTTGCAGCAAATCAGCCATTATGTGTTTCCAAGGTAACCAAGTATATACATGCACTCTCTCATAGACACACACACACACTCACACACACACACATACACACACACACACACACACACAAACACACACACACACACACACACTCACACACACACACACACACACAGATGGTAGAGGCGCACCAAACACGGGTTCAAGCTCTGTAACTGGATTGCTGCAGGCTGCTGCATTAGTGCGTGTTTCGATCTGTCAGTCAAACCAATGACAGTGAAATTATATTTCTAAATCTATTCGATTATATCCTGCATGAAGAACCTATTAAGACTTTTCACAATATTTTCATGACAATTAAGCACATTTCTTCCCAAATTCACATTACTATAATACATCCAGACAGTCTGTTAGACAGTTATCTCTCTCTCTCTCTCTCGCTCTCTCTCTATAACTATATAAATTGTGAAGTATAATTTATGTACAATTACATGAATTTTAATAAATATAATGATTTTATGTAATATTTAAATAATAATACTATTTTTTTTAAATGTTATTTAGGAAATGTTACATATAAATACAACTATGTATCTATTTATTTAAAGTTAAGTATTAAAACTTATGCACAATTACATAAATTTTATGTAAGATAAATTTTAAAAATGACATTTTAAGAAATAATGTTATTTCTTTGAGTTATTTTAAAAAAAGGTTATATAGAAAAGAAGAATTTAAATGAAGTATTACAAGTTATGCACCATTACATACATTTTCTAGTAAACAATAATAATAATAAAAAACAATTTAAGAAATATTATTATTTCTTAAAATGTTATTTTGAAAAAGTTAAATATATAAATATAAATATTAATCTATTTATTTAACTTGTGAAGTGTTACAACTATACACTTACATAAGTTATAAATTAAATAATTTTTAAAAATGACATTTTAAGAAATATTATTATTTCTTAAGGTTATTTTGAATTTTTTTTATAAATGTATATATAAATATCTATTTATTTAAATTGTGAAGTGTAACAAATGGTACTGTCTTACTGTCTTTATGCTAATTTAAATAAGAAAACAAATTTATTACAATAATTTTTGTAATTCCTATTATTCTAATGAGAATCATAATTGAGAATAATGAGAATTACACAAAATCTGGACGATTTACAGTGAGAATTTTTACAGTAGAAATTACCCTTAATGGTCTTAAAAATTTGTTTTTGTGAGATTCACTTGTCTAATTCCTTGCTGTTTTCTTCAGGAACTCTGAATAATTAATGATGATAATGATTAATGAATAATAAATGTTGGTAAACTGAATGAAATCAGTAAACATACTAGCCCAGCTGGAATGTGTTCATTTAGACCCCAAAATTGTCATTTGAAAGTGTTATTTGATTGGCTGCAGGTACATATAATGAAGAAATCATCTGATCTTAAGGAACGAACTTTGACATAAGATACAGAAACAACATGTGAGCACCTTCACACACCCCTGACTGAGGCTCAATTAAAGGAAAGTTCATCTCTAAAAATAGAGACTCGTCATTATCAGCTGCCATTCAGAGCTGTGTGTGTGTGTGTACAGGTATATATGGTTTATGAGGACACTTCCTGTGTCCCCGTAAACCTCTGTGTCTGGAGCCTCATTGACTTGTTATGGGAAGTAGAGAGAGGCAGGCAGAAGGAGACAGAGCCGTGAAGGGATTGTGAGGTAGTTAATATTGATGAGCATTTATCTAAGTGCCAATAAAAGGGACCCACAGCGATGACCTTTACACACACTAACTCTCTCCTTCATTCTGTGTTATGGCTGTCATAACCATCAGACTCTTATGAGACTTCAGCTTTGTTCAGACGTGCGGCAGAACGTCTCTTTTGTTGTTCAATACGATTCGTTGTTATAGTCTGACTCTGATCAGCAAAGAATAACATTTGTTTTTATGTTATCTGATTTTAAACCACATACAAATGTGTTATTTTAGAATTTAATCATAGAAATAGCTTTTCTTATATTTAAGTTTTAATTTTAATTTTAATTTAAGGTTTAGTAATTCTGTTATGTGCTTTCTTCATTATTAGTTTTTAAAAAATATTTCTTCATAGCTTTATTTTATTTCAGTTTTCCAAGGCAGCATTTCTAATTTTTGTTTGTTTAAGTTTGAGTTTTTCATCTAATATTTATATTTTATTTCAGCTTTATTTTAATTACTGAAAACTATTTGAATAGTTTTTACAAATATTTCCTCATAGCTTTAATTTATTTTCATTTCAGTTGTAGTTTTAGTAAAGTTAGTACTTCAACTTATTTCATTTAGTTGCCAAGGCAACATTTCTATATATTTATATAAAAGTTTTGTTTGTTTGTTTGTTTTTTCTTTGCATTTTTTATCCAATATTTATATTTTATTTTATTTAAGCTTTATATAAATTATCATTATTTTATTTTTAGGTTTAGTAATTTTAGTACTTAAACTTATTTCAGTTAGTTGCATGGTACATGTCTAATTTTTGTTTGCTTTTAAGTTTGTGTTGTTTGTCTGTTACTGTTTGTCAATTACTGAAATAAATGTAATAGTTTTTTTTTTAAATACTTCCTCATAGCTCTAATTTATTTTTATTTCAGTTTTAGATTTAACAATTTTAGTACTTCAACTTATTTCAGTCATTTGCCAAAGGCAGCATTTTTACATTTTGTTTCAGTCCATTTTTTCACTGATTGAATCCATTTGTATGTGGTTGTATCATAATATAAAACATTATCAAACTTTATAAGAGTACAAAATACAGGCATTTTTTCTTTAAAAAGAATGAACAGGCATTTTAATTCATTCTTTAGTTTAATTGAATAGATTTATAGTTATCTGAACTTAGCAGACAGATTTTACAAGGCTTTTGCTCAGTGTCTTTTAATCAAATGCTTTTTTGGTGATTTTTAGACTTTAGAGAGAGTTTGTTCATGAATGATTTGTTCGTTTTGCGTCTGTCAGATAAATGACTTGCGTCTCAGGAGGTGAATTAATCATTTATGTTTCTCAGAATTTTTCTTAGATTTCCTAATTCAGGAAAATTATGTCTACATCAATTTTGCCTACATTTTCAACACTAGATCTATTGTTTTATCATTTCTAACTTCTTTTTGTCAAGTGTTTTGATGTTAACTGTTAACTGTATTGTCTGTCTGTATGATAAATTATATTTTCTGTTATGAATGACATTCAGATGTTTTTAAGTCTGTCCAAATACTGTTTGTGATTGCTATATGTAGACTTCTCTACATAACCGCAGCGCGATACGCTAAAACACAAACAAACATTCTGATGCAACAATGAGACAATCACTGCAGGCGAATAAATACTGAGTCAGTAAAGAGATTCATTGAAC